CACACCCAGCAGACTGGATTGTGATTATATGTTCATATAATCTGAGTCTGTGCGCAGGCCAGTCTGGCACCTGATCAGCTAAGTGCTTTGTAGGGAAAGAGAGAGAAAATCACGCCACAGTGAGTTATTTCTGGCTGAGTTAGTCTTGTTTCTCTGGGCGCTTTGATAATGGAGAAGATTTGAATAATGAATGGAGCATATAATACTGCTCAGACCCGCTGAATCAATTAGGAAAGTGCACAGAAGTGAGTTTCTGTGAGGGGTTTCTAATACTCGCCGCTCTTTTAAAGTTTAGGCTGTTTTTGGTCATTTTGAAATTGGAACACAAACAGACTTGAAGACTCGTTTAAAGGAAAAAGGTTGCTGTAAATTGGCTCAACAGARYGCAAAAGAAAAAKAAATCTCCCATGTCCCCTCAAGGGCTCCCTAGTTTTAAAATGACCGTAATCTGGTTTGGAACTCTGGATAAAAAACTTCCTGTGCCTGACACTTCTATCAGTGGATGCTCTGCAGATAAGARACTGATGATTATAAACATCTCACGCAACACCACTTCAAAAAATGTGAGCCTAACTAGTGCTTTAGGGGTTCAAAGGGTGCTGCAGCACCCCTGATGGATGCTAGAAAACATGTCCAAATCCATAAAACAAATAACGGAAATAGATTATTTGTGCTGCACAAGATTAAATCCCAACAAAAAATGTGACGTTACTGAGTTTAATGAATCTACTTTATACAGTAAATGCACAAAGTGCAAAATTTTACAACCACTGAGAATTAACTAAAAAGTGAGCAGCTTAGCACTGAATGATTMTAGCTGTGGTCCATGTGCAAATTCTCACATAACAGAGCCCCACAACTGAAACAGATGTGTTAGAAATAGTCTCAAAACTTTTAGAACACACTGAAATACTTTTTGACTCTAATTTCTAAAGATTACAATAAAGAAAAACAAATGGTCTAACATGAACACACTACAAAAGAGAATTAGGGCCACTGTGTGTGTGGAAGGGGGGGGGGG